CATGTACAGATCTGCTAATAAAACAGTTTGCAGAACATTAAAAATCAGCAGCCTTAGGGCAATGTGAAAATATAATAGATAACAGAATTTATGGAATGGGCTTGGGAAACAAATGTGAATTATTTTGGAGCAAACCTGTCCTTATAGAGTAGTGTTTTTCAATCTTTTTATCTCACAACACACTTGAACCTATAATTAAATTTGTGCAGCATAAATTTCTTCAGAAAAAATCACATGATTTAAAGTTGTTGTTTGTAAACATTCTATTGCCATATTACTTGCCAGTTAATCTAATTCTTTTTGTCTATATTTTTTTGTGGATTAAATAAAACAGTATTATTGTTCCTTAAAATAGTAGCAGATTACAACAATAATTATTTAAATGAATAATTTTCATTTACATAAGAAAAGCAATTAACATTAAGTCTTAATTTGCATTTAAAAGTGGCATAATTGTCTTTAGAAACATGCCCAATGTCCTGCTATTTCTAAGTTAAAATAATTTGAACTAAATATGGACAATTATACGTACATTTTTGATTTTTAAAAAATTTCATTTTAAATGAAATAACCCAATGTTATGCACATATAATTTTGCTTATGAATATATATTTTTTTACTACATTACATATAAGTTTATTTATTATAACAATGAAAAACTCAATCATTTTAGATGTTTAAATTTTGACATGTATACTTATTGTTCTTTGGGCTTTTGAAAATTTATTTAATAACCTTCAAAAATTTTGCTGCACACCAGTTGAAAATCACTGTTCTAGAGGAATAAACAGGAAGAATAATCTATCTTAGAATTTTAGAACATATATACAGTATATTTATTTCCTCTCTATGTATATTGACATCAATAATTATAATGATACGAATACCTTTCAAATAGCTGAAAAGCAGTCCTAGATAAACTAATCCTTGAAAGACTTATTAGAATCAAGCAAGAAATACAATAAAGCAAGTGAAAAGGATAGTTTTATTTGCATAATATATTGGTCATAGGCAGGTCATATTAATATTCAGAGTGAAAAAAAAATGAGAAAAACTTTAAAAAGTGGAATAACACAACAAAACAAACATTTCTGGTCGTAGAATGTGTGGTCAAGTGTGAAGTGTTGAGGTGCAAAGTCATAACACAAAACATGAAAAAAAAATCTTTAATAATGGTTAATTACAGAAATTGCTCAAAAGAACAACCACCAACTGTAATGCATGCTTCACAGCTGTAGTGCTGTTTGCATTTTAATAGTTGAACCATGCAAAATTGTTAAAACCTTCAATTTATTCTAATTTACAAGATATGAGAGGTATATGAAAATTTTCAGGATATCACACTCTTTAAACTGATTAAAATGTCAATTCCAGATCCCCATAGCAGATAAAATGCTAAAACAAGAAATGAAAAAGCATGTAGTTATTGTTGTCATATGTGCAGAACACAGCAATTTAGAAATTGCCAACTTTATAAATGTTGCAAGATCTTTTGTACACATTGTTCATACATGCACCAAGACCAAAAGTCTAATAGAAAAAATGACAGATATGTGCAGATCCTTCTTATGCCCCCAGAATGTATAGTCCAGTAACTATGAGGTGCAGCTGTCAGCAATATTGTAGTTTGTTTATAGTTCACAATTCCTTATTTTATTTCTATTCTTCTACTTTCTTTCTATTGTCTTCGAGAACTTTCCATATCGACCATTACTACTTGAGGGGGGAGGCTTACCCCTTCTCAGAACCAAGGGTAAAACAAAGGAGTAAGGTATTAGTGCTTCTCTGAATTTGGGGAAATAAATAAAAGAAAATGTAGCCTGAGGCAAGAAAAAAGGAGAGAGGAGAACATTTTTTGGCTGGACCTCAAAACGAACGGATGTACAGTGTAGTGAGTGAAACTCAAAAACAGAAGGCAGGTATAGGAGAGGACTGTCGAGATTAGAGGAAGAAGCACAAGGGACTAAGAAAAACTGAAAGAATCAGAGAACCTCGAGAACAGATTGCTGAATCAGTAAAGGAGAATAAAAGATCACGTCTGTGAAAGGGCACCTCCCCGAAGATATCGATCAATCAACATGGACCCAGGTATTTTCTATCTCTTTATGCTTTCTATATTTTCCTAAGTCTAATCATTTCCCTGTTATATTAGTTTTAAGTTAGACATAAGATTAGTTTTTAATTTGGTTATCAAGGTTTTGTGTTACATGCGCGTATATTACATACTTGTACGAGAATAGGAGATGACCTATTTCCCTGTGAGGATAATAGAGTAAAGGAACTCATTAAGTTGGAATCTTTGTAACAAAACAAGATAAAAGAACCATGTTCGGAGTGCATTAAAGGAATATTCAATCACACACATTTTTGTTCTTGTGTTCCTATTTGTAACATTTATTCGCAGACTTACAAATCACTCGTTATGAACAACCACAATGGTTTTAAAAGTGGTAAATAATGAAGGTCATGCTACATTAATTTTTGCACAGATCAGAATTAATGCTGCTGGATATATTCAGGTGCTAGAGACAGTTGTTAAGCCCTGGATAGAAGAATCATGCAATGGAAAGCCATACCTGTCTCAACAAGACTCAGCACCCTCTCACAAAGCCCAGATAACCCAGAAGGGATGTTGGACAATCTTTATGAATGTGTAACAATAAATAAGTAGCATCCAAACTCAAAATTTAAATCCTACTGACTACTATGTTTGAAGCATTGTTGAATGGAAAACTAATTGACATCCCCACAATAAATATCTTCACTGAAGGTGATGTCCAAAATGAATAAGACATTTAGTCCAGGCATATCAATATTCCAGTTATACAGTTATGAAACAGTCATCAAAGCTGAAAGCAGATTCATACAATAGTCTTGTAAGAAAGCTTATCAAGAACATACACAAAGTTTTCTTAATATATATTTGGTTTTGCTATATTAGTGCTGTTTTATTAAATTACCAAGTATGACTTCACACCCTCTATTTTATCAGTATAATTTGAAGCTTACAAAATTTTTCTTTACAAAATTGCTTTAAGTTTTTAACATCTTATTACCTTAAATTTTTGTATTCTTGAAATTTTAAATTTTGAATTAATAGAAATTTTAAATATACATAATTGTCAATCATATGTTCTAAAAATATTGAATAAAACTTAACTCTTTAAAATTGAAAAATGTCTATAATACATTTTAGATGATGATTTCAAACAAACATTCTATAAAAAAAATTTATAGATTTTGTTAGAACATAAGTTTATGTAAAAGTTGCAATAGAAACTGAAGATAGTCTGATTAGGGCTAAAAACATTTTTTTGGTAAAATGAATGTTTTGACTTTTCCACAAGAAGTGGCTATTTAAGACAACAACACGCAATGCCAATTGGTGTTAGTCAGTAATATAATATAAATATGTAATCTATAAATAAAACAAAGATTCACCATGAATGTTTTCGAATTCTTCAGAGTTCTTCTTCAGGCATGAAATGGATGTTCCATGGAACGTGAAGGCTTTGGAACACAACCATTTGAACAATCATTCGAATGTGTTCAAATGGAAGAACTCTGGAGAGTTTGAAAATGTTCATGGTGAATTTTCATTTTGTTTTTTTCTTTGAATGCCAATCATTGGTTTGTAGGGTACGTTAGTGGCTATTTAAGATTTTAAAATACTTAGATATGTTTAGATACATAAATGCTTATTACAGCAATACTTCCAAACCAAAAATCCAGTTAGTAAAATAAAAACATATACATCCAGTGTGTGATAGGGTTTCTACATAAATGCTTATTATTGTGTTACACTTGCATTATATACAACCTATATAGTATTAGTAATAGACTTTTTATGTAGGTTTGTCTAAGTCTATAAACTATATTTGCTTAATGACATATTTCTCAGAACACATCCGTCATTAAATGGCATATGCCATATCTATAGAATTTAAACTGAAACATCTGTATTCATATATATTTCAGAAAACACAAAACAAATTTATTTAGCACTTCATAACATTTTAGAATATCAATATAAATTCATAAAATGATTTACTACCAAACTTCTAACTTAAAATTCTGCTTTATCATGCTGACTTTTTGTGAATGGAAAAATGTAATAATACTACACGCCAGTTAGCAAAACAAGTAATCAATCATTAGATTTGAAATACAAACAAATTCTCTTTGAAATTTATCCAAATTCAACAACATATGAATACAAAAAACTTAGATTAAATAATAATAAACAGTAACTTGTTATATGCAAGTTTGACATTATTTATTATTTGACTCATACTACTAATTTAATCAATATTAACCTTATTAACAAGCAAAACCAAACTATGGTGTGCCTCAGTACGAGTGATAGTGAGCACCTCGGTGCTCACTATCGCTCGTACTGAGCACCTCAGTGCCCAGGTGGAGGCAAGCTCCCCACACCCCCTAAAACTATATAGCATCAAGTACTCCATAAACAGTCAAGTGGGCTACTCGAAGCTGGCACAGTTGCGTCGGCTAAATTTTAAACACGATACCACCACTGATGCTACTAGGTAAATATCTACCCTTAATTCTGTTCAATTATATTCATCTGTAAAATATAAACTTATTCCTCACACCAAACATTCATTCACACTAATTACAGGTCACAAAAAGCCAGAAATTGGTCTGAAAGAATATTTTTTTTTTAATTTCAGGTCAAAATATCAGCAGACATTTGGCATAATCTTGTAATACTTAATAAGAAGCAATTTAATTCACTACGTAAAGTTTATTGTGTATATAACTTGTACTTAGTATATAAAATGTACAGTTTAATGTATAAAATTTAGATTAATATTTAAACATATTAAAGAAAAATACTGTAATTGTAATACTTGTGTGTGTGAGTTTTTCTTTTTTTGTCTGTGACGTAACAAAGTAATTATTATCTTGTGTAAAAGAGTTTACTTTCACATAATTAATATTTAAATTAATATATTTAAATAAAAAGGCAGATTTACCTTTCTCAAACCAATCCTACAAGCACTAAGTCCCAATTGGATATTTTCTACTACTTTAGGCATTTCTAATTCATAACAAATAAATTTAAATGTTCTTTTACGTTCATATTGTTAAAATAAACGTAAAAAATCGTAAATATAAGTTGAAATTGTTGTATTTTATCTTGATTCTCGTCTGCATATTTGTTTACAGCGCCTCCTTAGAATCTGACTCACCCTAACACGACCTCTTACGTCATAAATAATTTAACCTTTATTTCTTTTTTTTATCCTTGAAGATAATGTAAAAATTTATGTTATTATCATTTAATTTTTGATGTAATAAATTTATATTATATTTCATAAATTTCAATTTTATATTTAATATAATTTTAAATTTTATAAAAATGTCTGCTTTTATTTTATTCCTGCGTTTATACAGCCTTATATTTGTTTTATAAAAAGTAAATATAATTAAAATTATTATTTTTTTCCATAAAAAATTTGTAATTTTATTTCAAACTAATTAATAAATATTTCAATCTGAATATAAAAATATTTAATACATTTAATGTAAATTTAATTTATTGTATACTGTATATAATTACTTTCATTTTAATGTAGTGAAGCGAGGTATTGTGCAATTTGACAAAAGAAGGAAATAATAAATTATAATCTCCAAACAGTAAATTGCAAAATATTTTATAAGTTAGTAGCGGTATATGTCAGATAAATTTGTAATTTTTTTTATGTAATCGCATTTAAAAAATATACAATAAAACATACCTAAATGCAAGTATGAAGGCATTAATACTAAAAATAATAATAATGTCACATTATAATTTTTTGTCTTTTAATTCTTTCCGCTCTGTGGGCACTAAGATGGCCTTTTTAGTAAATCATGGGTTCGGCCAGGCCCACAATGGAGCGGCCGGATGGTGAGAGACGGGCCCGATTGCTATTTTATATTAATTAATAACACAAAAAGTTTTTTATAACAAAATCTTATAACAGATGGCACCATATACAATTTTAACTTTGCCGGGAATGTTACGCAACTCGCAATTCGTTTCTGGAGTTTTTTTCTCGTTAAATCTATTATATATTCGTTATTTAAACGTTTACATCATTCATAATTTGATTTGCTTTGGTTTAAAACCATGCTTTTCATGAGCAATCATATTTTATTACGATTATTCTTGAAAAACATGGATCGGTGTGCCATTCCTTACTTTTCATATGTTATTTTTCATTTGTTAATGAGAACTACACGATTAATTTAACTAAGGTTACCATATCCAAATCATAAAAAAGAAATCATATAAAAAAAAGTCTGATAAAAAGTAATATAATATAAATATGTAATCTATAAATAAATAAAATGTATTTCATAATTTCCAAATACAAAATAAAAGAGTTTTCAACCTTGATTTTTCAAGTTTTCTTTTTTATACAGTATTTGTATAAAAAGGATGATTAATGTGAATAATGAATTTAACATAACCGAGTTATATTATTTTCTAAACTTACGTATTCAATTGTATTCGAATCCTTTTTGACAAGACTATGTCTTGTTTATAAAATCGTACTGCCCGATTTTCTTACCAGCATAGAGGTGTGAAGGAGTACATGTCGAGAGTTGATATTTGGCATAGAGTATTAGGTGCCCAAATCATTTGCGCATAAAAAAATTCAGACTCGTAGGTAGTTAGAAGACCGAGAATCGAGTCAAAATAAAATACAAAATGGCGACCCTTTTCTACAAACAGCCAAAACAACCACCTCACCCCACCGAAGTCAGGTGGGGGAGAGTACCACCCGCAGTCATTCTAAGTGAACTCTGACTTTAGGACTGAACACGTAGTTTCTTATATGTTAAATAAAATTTGTAATCTAATTTTGTAAATTTGGGAGTGCTTCAAATATGACGTTAAAACGGTTTTATGTCGTTACAAGTGCAGTGGCGTAGCGTAGTGAGGGGGGCCGCCCCCGCCGCCCCGGGCGGCACTTCTTAGGGGGCGGCAAACTTTCACAATAAATAATAATAATATCTTGTAAAAATTTGAACCATTCTAATCTATATTTGCGTCGCGCCTATGATAGTGCTATCGTCCGGACAGTCCGGAAATAGGCTCGCCGTCCGGGTGAACTAGTAATTTCATCCGAGGATATCCTGACCTTTTTTTTTTCTTTGCTTGTACGATTCATTCGCATTCATATACACCACCAATATCCAATAGAGCTATTTTAAACAGGTCGCTGCACTAGCACGGAATTTTTCATTGCTTGTTCTGTGACAAAACTGAATTTTAGTCTTTTAAATTGAGATACAGTTAGAAATTATTTGCGAGA